AGCACAGCCCCCGCTCCCTGAGTGGAAGGGAGGGGAAGGAAGGAGAAAAGCAGGATGCAGGCAGCAGCAGGGTGCACAAGGAGGTTTATTGGAGAAGGCTGGATGGTGGGGGGGGTGGGAAAGGAGACCTAAACACAGGTAGCTCTGCCCAGGGCTGGCAGAAGGAGCCTTTGTCAGCTTCTCTCCAGTCCCCGGGCTGCACGCAGGGGGAACCTCGGCCTCGCTGAGCCACAGCTAATCACTGCTTCTCTTACACATCACCCCCACTTCTTGGTGCCCCGGCCATCAGGTCACAGGCAGCCTTGTGCTTCTGCCAGTGCTGGACCTGGCACGCCCTGCAGAGGGGGAGGTGGATGCTGAGGGGCTCTGCCACAAAGCCGGGTGCCCACAGCTTGAGCTGGGACAGGACAGGGCGATGTCCATCCCCGGCAGCAAAGTGGTGACACGGACAAACCCCAGCACTGTGCTCCTCTGGGTGCTGGCAAGGTCGAGTATTAGCCCAACAGGGAGGTGGATGTGTCCCCCAGTTCTGAGGGCTAAGATGGTTTAACGCCAGACCTTGCCAGATGGTTCAGGACCAGAGAAGATTTAATTTACTGCCACCATCCCAGCTGCCACATCCCAGCCGCCACATCCCAGCCTGTCACCCGTGCCCACAGATCCGCAGGTGCTTTCCTCACCCCTGCTGCCCCAGAAGGTGCAGGGGAAGGAGACATTGTCACCATGGGAACCTCAGCCTTTCCCTGCTGGTGGTGGGGGCAGATGCTGAGTTGCACCTTGCAGCAGCAACACAACAGTCTGTAGCATCTCCCTCGCCAGCATCCTGGCACATCAGCCTCACCATAAGGTTTGGAAAAGTATGTAGCCAGTGGAGAGCCAGCATTGGGACCTCTAGCTTCCCTTGGACCTTTCACAGCATCCTGTGGTGAGGTCTGTGGTGTTCTGGGGAGCGGGGAGCACAGGGGGGCTGCAGGGGGACACCAGGGGGCTGCAGGTCTCCCTTACCGCGTGCAGTACCACTCGTTGCGGCAGCGCGAGCACCGCTTGGCCGCCTCTGCCCCACACACCCTGCAGCAGGGCCTCTCGGGGGCCAGAGCCTCCATCATGTCCAGGCTGTAGATCCGTGACCACCTGTGGCAGGCAGAGATGGGGTGAGGCTGATGAACAGCGACCTGTCCCCACTGCACCCTGTCACTGAGGGGACACCCCCAGCCAGTACCACAGGGTGCTCCGTCCTCCCAGTGCTGAGCTCCAGCCTTTGGTAACAGGGATACTGGCCCCACTGGGTGCCAGGGCCTTACCTGCATGCCTGGAGCTTCAGCTCTTCCTCGGTGGGGCTAAAGACACCTTTCACCTGCTGCTTGGCAATGGCCTCCCATTTCCCCGTGTTTTTCTTAAGGATGTGGTCCCGGATGACGGGAACCTGGCAGGAGAGGCAGAGCAGGAGGGAGCCTGCAGTACAGGGGCGTCTGATGACCAGCAACCAGCCCTGGGTACGAGGAGCATGCCCACCCCAGGAGAGTGAGCAGAGGCAGTGCACGCAGAGGCAAAAGCACAGGGAGCGAGGGCGTGTGTGCTTTCGGGTACATGGAGGGGATGGATCCACTCGCCAATAAGCGTTTAGGTAAAACAAGGCAAAACCTTCAAGGTCCGGGTGGGAACCAGAATTCAGCCCCGAGGCCTGGGGTCCCAAACAGAAAACTCTAGGATCTCAGCGCCCTGAATGCCAGTTGGCTGCACGAATCTTGTGCTCCAGAGCCGTTTGCCTGAGTAGATTTTTCCACTCGTCATTTCCCTGAGGACGCACAGCCGAGGAAGAGCTGGCCGGGGCAAAAGGGAAGCGCTGGCCAAGAGCGGCGCGGGGAGTTCAGGCTCTGGAGGGGACGACGCAGCTTCAAACAGTGCTGCCTTCTCCAGCAGCGTAAAAATAGCCAGGCCTGGAAGGGGAGGAGGCTGCTCTGGGAGCACCCGAATGGAAAAAAGCCTTTTCAAATCTTGGCTGGGTGACAAGGAGTGAGTTCACCACTTTCTGGGGAGAGCAGGGAGCCCACGTGTGTGCTCCCAGCAGGCTGCCCCTGCCCAGCTCAGCCCCAGCCCTCGGGGGAAGCAGGAGCAGCACCGGCACAAAAGCAGAGCCACAGAGCAGGGCAGCAGCCTGGGCGAGGGCTGGTCAAGGTCCCCGGTGTGGCGGGTGCCCGTCCCTACCCCCCCAACACGCTGGCAGCCAAGGCACACGGAGCGAATCCACAGCCACCCCGTCCTGCTGCTGTGCCCAGCTGCTCGGCGTGCCAGCCTGCAGCCTGCTCCAGCCCCAGCATGGGCCGTGCCCCTGGCTCAGCCACAGACAGCTCTGGCCAGGACACCTCCCCCTGTCCCAGGTCACACGCCTTCCAGTCCAGAATTCAGATGTTAAACAGAGTTGATGGTCAAAACAAGCTAAGAGTTGTCTCTGTCCCATGCAGCCACCACCCCAGGGTCTCAGAGCACTTTGGGGAGTTGTTTATAAGCCAGCATTTATGCCTTTATATGTGACTGCTTGGCCACTGTGGTAGCAGGACAAGGCTCCCACATCATCCATGGACAACTCTGCTGGCAATAAGGGTTTGGCTGCTTTACCAGGGCACCACCTCTCCAGAGCTGAGCTTGGTGGGAAGAAAAGTGGGTAGGGAGCTATGGAGCTGAGAGCAGAGAGGCTGGAGAGGTGGAGGAAGAGCTACAGGATACCTGCTCCAGGATGAGATCCTTTTTAGGGGGAGCTGGCTCTGTCACCGCGAGGTGGCTCAGAAATCTCTGCATCTCCACCAGGTTGGGCAGCTGGTCGACAAGGACATCTGTCAGGAACGCACGGAGCTGCGGCCACAGAGAGGAAGAAAAGAATGAACAGAGAGGGGTCAAGAAAAGGGAGCCAGAGTTGGAGAAGCAGCAAGGCAAGAGCAGGGATCTGTAGGGCACTGGCAGAGCAAGCCATGGGGGTCCCACAAGGTGCACCTGCAAACACAAGCTTTGCTGCTGCTGGCAGGGTGACAGATCCTGCTGCTGTTCCACTGCTGGCTCCTAGGAGCCCACTGTGAAGACGGGGAGAGATGCACGGAGGTGCCTAGTGCTGGCAGGCTCCTACTCTGAGCTGCAGGGTTCACAGCCTTTGTAGTACAGGGTCTTACCTTAAGGAGCTGACACTTGTTGAAGCCATCAAAGTGGTATTTGCGCTGGCATTCAGGGCTGAGCAGGAGGTTGAGGAGGGCAAGCCACACTTGCCCATCCAGTTTGGTCATCTTCACGTGGTCTTCAGTGGGGACGACATGCCATGTGCCATTCTCAAACTTCTTGAGCTTGCCTGAGGGACAGAAGAACACACAGCTCCAGGGAGAGTACTGTCTAAGGGAAGGCAGCTCAGAGGTGGGGAAGCAGGCCTATGCTCACTACCTCACTTGCCCATAGGCAAGTCCCTCTGCTTTGGCCTGCCTCACTCAGACAATTTATTAGGGAGCATGAAAAGCAGAAGAAAGTGTATTAAAACAATAGGCTGTGGCTTAGCTGAAAGAGCCCTGAGCTATCTCCCTCTGTACTTGGCCATGAGTGTAGAGCACTGGCAGATGGTGGGAGAGCCCATGCTGCAGTAAGAGTGGTTGGAGCAGCATGTTTTGGGGTACCAGCATGGCCAACACCCACTCTTCTGAGTCTCTTCTGCCAGTGAAAGCCAGAAGTAGTGTGAATATAACAGAAGTAACAAAACAAGCTCTGGGAGCTGCCGTGCTGCTCTGAGGGATGGAGGAGGATGTAACCCCGCGACTGCACAGCCTGGAAATGCCTTTGCACTCTTGTCTCTTTCCTGTCCCTCCCTCAGGGCCTGGGATCAAAGCTCCCTCTAACCTCCCGAGCGCACAGGCAGAGCGAAAGGATGCGCTTCCTGGCAGGAGGAAGGGGGGAAGCTCCCCTGTGAAATATATTCACTCGATTCGTGTCAAAATAAAGTCATATTGGGGCAGCATGGTGAGGTGTGATTCTGTTGGTTTTGTATAGCTACGGGCCTGGGGAAAAGCAGGGTGAATAGTTCTGGTTTCTTATTTGTGGTCACTTGGCATGTTGTTGTGCTGGCTTGCCTTGATTCTGTTAATGGCCGCTTAATGTTAAACAAAGGGGAGTTTGCAAAGCGCATGCGTGAAGCCTGGGGCCATCTAAAGTGTGAGCCGAAGGAGACCACTGACTTCATCCAGCGACCACCAGGTGGGAGCGAAGAAGACCCCAAGAGGTGAAAAGAGCATGCTGCAAATAAGACCTACCTATTCTTGGAATTAATTTACATAGACCCACCTTTTAATGAATATGTATTAGCAGGGACAATAAAAGCCGGAGACAGGGACTGTATGGGGTGCATCTTGGTTGAGCAGAGTCACCCAGCGCACCCAGCGCTGTTTGCTTG